TGTCTCCACCCGGGGAGCGGCAGGGCGGGAGAAAGCGTGGGCTAGGAGAATGGCTCCACTCACTGCCCCGTGGCTCTCCTGGAGCTGCTGATGCCGCTCCTGCTGGCTCTGCTTTGTCCCCAGGAGCTGCAGGCATCAGCGGCTCTAGGAGAGCGACGGGGCAGCGAGTGGGGCCATTCCCCCTGCACGCGCCTGGGAGCTGCAGGGAGGGAAGGAGCCAGGGCCAGGCAGGGATGGGGACCAAGCGGTGCTGGCTACAGTAGAGTCCCTGTCATCTGAAATTTTCTGTAATCCGACCACCTGTCGGTCCCGTTTAGGTCAGATAATCGGGACTCTACTGTATATATTTGTAACCATAAGTTCTTCTGCTCCTGTAAATCAGCATAGCACCAGGAAAGTCATTCATCTGGCATTTTGGAGCAGCTGACAACCCCATCCAAAGATTTTCAGCTATTAAGAGAATCCTCTTACTCCAGATTTCAGCTGTTCATCCTAAGTGCAAGTTCTGACAACACAGAGGAAGGTTATGGAATCAGGATTGTAGGTTTTCCTTCATTATTCTTAGACTGATGGAGACAACGTAACTTGTCCGTGATCAAAGTACCTGTCATAGAACAGATAAGCACTTGGGTGAATAGAAAAATGCCATGTGAGAATTTAGGGAACAGCAGTTTCATGCCACTAGACTAGTTTCCACAACTACATTTTTCTTTATCCAAATTGTGCATCATGAGCAGCCCCTGTCCATGACGGATCCCGCCAGCCTGGAACAGTCTCCTGCCAGTGGTGGGCAGGGAGCTGCGCCGGCTCCCATCGATCAACCTTTCACATCCCTCCTTCATTCCTGCCCCAAGAACTGCCCCCAAGCTGGCAATGAGCTATGGAGTTCCTGCAGCAGTTGGCTCCCCTATCACAGAGGATGCCATTTTCATTGCACTTTGGTCTTTAAAGGGGTAGTGGTAAAGCTGGTTGGATCTGCCCTTGTGCCATTCATATATGCAGTAATAAATTACATGTTCCTTTACTAATTACAGAACAATTACCAGAAAGACACATTAAGAAGTCACCATCATGTGATCAGTATCCCTTCCACTAACACCAACCATCACTTCTATTCTAAGACATAGAAGCCACTCAAAATTCTAGTTTGCTTTTTGGATAATGACCAAAACTTGATGCCCTGGTGCTAAGTTTCATTTACTGACGTATTAAAATGTTTCTCCCACTACTGTTCCGATTTTGTGTAACAAAATCTATTTCTGCCTTGTGTTTCAGAGACCACACCAAGAAAACCACAACCTCAGCACAGGACAGTATGAGAGGGAAAATACTTACTACACTTAGGGAAATAGAGAACAGTGGCTATGATGTACTGCTTCAAGCTTTGGTTCTAGAGTTAAAGGTAACCTATATGTATTACAGTTATGTCCCTATATTCTTGGTATTTTTGAATTTATTGTAGACAAAATATTTCTGTAGAGGAAAAGTCTACTATGTTACTGATTTGATTTGGGACAAAAATTAGGGTTCAACATAATCCCCACAAAAAAATAATAATCTGGGAACAGATGGCAATCAAAGTTCACATAATAGAATCTGATTACATTACTTCACTGAGGTTGTTGTCATCATATTGTCTTTATCAAAGCAACACATATACATGTCAGGTTGACTGATTTAACTGAATGGCAAGATTACAATCTAAAGAAAAATCTGATCTTTTCTCATCTATTAGCGAGGATCTCCAAGATAAACCCCTAAGCCAGCCATACCCAAACTATAGAAAGGATCAGATTTGAACTTAAAATATCAGCCTCTACCTCCATTATTTATAACTCAATTGGTTCCCATTGATTTAAGCCAATGTGCTCTCCTCCCATGTGCAAAACACTCTCTCTCTCTCTCTCTCTCTCTCTTTTGCAGCAGAGCCTTTGTCTGGAAGCTTCTGTGATCTGTAAAACATTTCAAACTGGGCTCATGTACTTTTTGGCTGCTTCTGGGCTTTTCCTTTCTTTGGGCTTTTTCCCCATTCCTTGTTTTTAAATAATCAAGATCGTCAGATATGATCTTCCCTGCTTTTCCTCCAGGACCTCTTGACAGGTCTCAAAGATGTTTGTTGTTTCAGAGCTTGGTGGCCCTTTCAGAATCTTAACTGAAAGGGCCAGCAAGGGGGTAGAATCTTATTAAGGAAGACAGCCTCTGTCCAGTGTCATTATTCTTTGTTTGTAAGCATCTATTTAGCTTCCAACAAAAGACAGTCTCTGATTAAAATCTCTTCCTTCAGTTTCCATTGCCTTGGAATGCAATGCCACTTGTCCTTGTCGGACCCAATAGACTAGACTTGACAAAGTTCTAATTTAATAAACAGAAGCAGAAAGATCATTTTTCATTTAAAGTTTTCAGGGCCTCTATCCTGTTCATCAAAAAGACACAAAGAAGGGCATAACCCCGATTCATCCTTCCCCACTTTACAAGACCATCTTTAATTTCTCTGTACAGCATCAGGCATGCCTGTTGTACACAGAGATTTAACACCTTATACACATTTGCATTTAGATTTTGCTTTGCAGATGCTGAATAGTGTGTTCTTTCCTCAGCCTATTTTTAGAAAGCTCACACAAAACAAATGGCTTTCCTGCAGCGAAACAATGAATGAAATCCTCCAGGCCACCAGCAACCACATTTCAGAATTCAAGACTCTCCATGACCCCCTCTACCAGGTAAGCCAAACAGAGATATTGAAAGAACTCTAGGAAATCCAAATGTTTTTCAACTGGGAACCATTGTAATGCTCAGCTACATGTACTGTCTGTTTGGCAAAGGGACTGGGTACATAGCAGGTGCCAGCTTAACCCTAGTGAGTTTCCACAATTGCAAAGGACGGGTTTGTATTACCATGCAGATTATCTAAATCATCCTATTGCAGCCATGACCAACACTATCTCCTGTCCATCAAAACCAGATTCACATAGCTCATTCTTACCCTTGTTTCTTCAGCATGATGGCAAAATGCACTGGAGAGGTTTTTGTGTTCTGGCAGCTTTTCAGAATAAGCCCTTGTCTGCACTAAGGATCTGGGTTGTAGGTCTTCCAGCCCCAGCATGGCTGTGCATGTGCATATTACTTTATAGTGGCTTTGCTAAGCCTAAATATTTTCAGGGGTAGTTTCAACACAAGCAAATTCCTGGAATAGACCTAAATGTGATTTGCATGGCAAACTCCTGTCATAAGCCACATCCAACGTGATTTAAGTGTCCAAATCCATATTTGTTGTGGTTATGTGGCAAGTTTAATTCAGATAGGCAATGTACAGTCCTCGTGTAAGAATTCTGTTTCTTGTGTTTGTCTCTTCAATAAGCGGAACAAACTCAGTAACATGTGACCAAATAGGGGACCGGGAGTTGCTGAAGCAGATTCCTATTTACCTGTGATATTTCTACCCCTCATGTATAATTTTTCAGGCATCTCTCATTCCATGTAGGAAATGTCCATTCAGGGAAAGGAGCCAATTCTCATATATCATTTGCTTTGCTTACAAGGGTCTGGGAGGGTTTGTGCTATGGGTAGAACAGGACTTCAGATCAGCAAATACTTCTGAACTAATGAAAATCCAGCCTCGCCATCCAGGTGTAACCACCGGTGGGAATTTGGCACATTGTGTTTTAATGCTGCAACGGACCATGTTGCCCTCAATCCACATGCACAAATGGACTAAATGTGATTCAACTGTGTCCCAAAGAAAAATTTGAAGCAGACCTCCCTCCTTTCCCTGAGCTCACCTATACTAAGCCCATGCCACCCTCTCGTCCCCAGGGGATGAGAATCACCTCTAGTCCCTTTCTTTCCTGCCCAACTCACCCAGCTCCAAGTCTCCTCTCCAAGGTGGCTGGCTTTGAAAAGAGACTGCACATCAGCTAGTCCCCTGGGTGAGTGGGCAGGAGCTGTCATCTTCTCTAGGTGTTCTCCTGCACCAGCTCTACCAGGGGCCACTTGGGGCTAGGAGCAGATGAAAAGAAATTCCCCAGGGTGGTCCGCTTCATAACAGCAGTGGGAGCAAACCTGTTAGAGATATGGGGGATGATTGTTCCCTTGTTGCTACTCATCTCTGGAACCATCTGAAGCTCTCTGTTCCCTACCCATTCCTCCTATCAAATCAAAGGCGAGTGTTGGAGCCTTATTGTAACTCCACTTCTTCCTCAATTGCAAGGCTCAGTCCCTGTGTCCCCACCTCTCACCACCACTGGACTTAGCAGCAGGAGCCTATATGGGTCTGTACACAAGAGCCATTGAGATAAGTGCCAACTCTATATCAGGTGTCAGGGCAATCTGTAGCCTTTGCAGTGGGTTCCATACATATGATCGTACTGAATTAACTCCTATTTCCCCTCCCCAACAGGACATTGTGGAGAAGATTCATGGTCACTTGGTGAGAGAATACATTGTAAGGCTAATGAAGAAGAAAGTCAGCTTGAAAACCCCAGAACTACAGCAAAACTTGTCAAAGCTCATTTCAGCTCATGCCTCCCTCTTGCAAAACTTCTGCAAAGAGAAGGTTAGTGATGGTTCACCATGTCCATCATAGAACTTAGTCCTGTGAACTTCTGGAAAGAGTTTTCTTCAGCCTCTGGCTTTAATTCTTCAAATGCTATTTAGTTTTTAAGTGTGTGTTAGACAGAAGGAGAGTCTTCCAAGTTTAGGGCTGGAGTAAATTGGAATATATGCCTGGGGATTGAAGGTTACACAGTTTACAAGCCTAACACCCTAGTAGCAGCAAATGGCCTGTTGATTACAATGTGTATTTCCTACTTCCTTCAGGTTACATGCAATTGATTCCTTTTCTGTTATGCTCAGTTTACATGCATTTAATTTTCTTTATTTAATAATTATCTATTGTATATCAGGAGCTGCAGTTCTGTGGGATAAATACATGCACTGGATATGCCCCTTGTCCCTTGATTTCCCTCACTTTTGCTGCTCTTACTCTAGGCTGGTTCTGAAAATGCCAGTTTTTGTTTTCAGAAGAGTGGTTTTGGTCAAGAAAATTAATAACCAACTCACACTTGTTTGATTTCAATCCTATCCCTTCTCTTATGACTCTATGCTGAACTACAGTGAATCCAGCTGGCAGGAAGTACAGACTATGAAAAGCAGATGGTGTGGAAGGGATGTCAGGGAAAGTTTTCCAGTAGGGATGTCAATGTGTAGTCAACTATATGATTAACTGATAAGCTTAGGCTTATTGGTTAATCTTGTCGACTACATGAATTCTCACCCTCCCCTTTACTGCCTAAGCTGAGCAGCAGGAAACAGTGCTGGGGGGAGCCAGCTTAAAACATGCCAACTGCCCTCCTGTGCTACTGCCTCTATCAGAGGCAGCAGTGCAGTGGGTGTACCAGGCGGGGGAGGGGCCAAAAAGCAACCTGTGTCTGCATGGGCCCAAGCCCCCGGGGAGAGAGGCTGCTCTACCTCCCCTGCACCACCACAGACAGAGGCTGTTTTGCAGCAGCCTTCTCCTCTCCCATCTCCCAACACCTGCCCCCCAGCGACCTCTGCAGGCAGCTTGGACCCCCATGCTGCTGCCTCTGTATCAGAGGCAATAGCACAGGGTGAGGCAGCCTGTCTGTGCAGGGTGCTGGTTTTTAAACTGGCTCCCCCCACAGACCGGCTCCCACCTGGCACTGCACTCTGCTGCCTCTGATACAGAGGCAGCAGCACAGGGTGACAGAGGGCTACCTGGGAGTGGTACTGGAGTGCACTGGCGGACAGCCTCACCCCTGGAGACTATAGAATAGTTGAGTAACCGATAAGTATTCATGTGATTACTCAACTAGTCAATTACCTGATATCTAACATTCCTAGTTTCTGGCAGGTCTGCTTGGGGCTCTGTTCCAGCGGAATAGGAAGGGGTTTAGCAGATAGTTGATAAGTCAAAGATCAGGCACAAATCCAGTGATACAACATGCATCTGCCATGTTGGTTAGAGGTCTCAGAAGGTTAGCCATGTTAGTCTGTATCTGCCAAAACAACGAGGAGTCCTGCAGCTAGAGATGTTAAATGGTGTTTAATCAGCTAATCGACTAGTTGATGGAATTTCAGCTGATTCCTGGCTTGCGCCTGGTCCCCCGCTACACCTCTGCCTCCTCCCACTGTCCTCCACAGAGATGGTACTGGGGGGAACCAGCTTATCGGATAGTCGACTAGTCACTAACATCCCTACCTGTGGCATCTTAAAGACTAACAGATTTATTTGGGCATAAACTTTTGTGGGTAAAAACCAGTTAATCTGACAAAGTGTTTTTTACCCATGAAAGTTTATGCCCAAATAAATCTGTTAGTCTTTAATGTGCCAGAGGACTCCCCAGTGTTCTTGTAGATTAGATCATTACATATATCCAGAGGTAACAAACCTTAAGTAGCTGAGAAGCGAACTGTGTACAGCTGAGAGCACAAAAGCCACTTTAAAACAAATGTCCAGCTAAACTTCTCAAAGTCTGGTCAGGGTTAAAACTAGTTTAGGACAAAGCCTCTTAAAACTATAGGGCCTTGTTTCTACTCACTGCTCAGTTCCTTACTTGCTGGCCAACCCATCGCGTCAGAAACTGGCTTATCTGGAAGTAGTCATAAACAATGTTCCTTAATCATGTCTCCACCCCATTCAGACAGGTTTTGTAATCCCAATGGATCTATATTACAGACTGTTTACTCTGATTATGTTTCTGATAGGGGTCCAAAGCCATGTGGTTGGATTCTGCACTCCCACAACTGGCTGAAATAATCAGACTTCAGGATTCAAGTGCCATTAAAATAGAAGTTGCTACATTGGCTAATAAATATCCAGATATCAGGTAAGAGATACTGAAAAATATTTGTGAACATTGTTGGAATGTCCACAGTACTTTCATGACAACAGTTGAGTATTAGAAGCAGCTAGTTTGTGAACCTCAGCTTTCTAGGTCAGGTTCAGGCACTTCAAGGCCTGCTACAAATAGAGTAGAGATTTCATCGTGCATGCCAAGCACCTAATAACACTGCTGAATGTTGGGTAACAATTCCTCTTTTAGCAAAGAACAGTTCAGAAAGCTGGATAATTTTATTTTATTTCCTAAATATTCCCAACCTCTTTTCCAAAGGACATATAGATCCAAGTTCCACCATTCAGCTGTGCCACCACCCACCACTGATTTTTATAGTTCAGGTTCAGAGTTTCCCACCTCCCCCGACATATCCATTTTTTGTGACCATTTTGGAATTGGCACATTCTGAGCCAGTTTTCTTCTCTTTCTGTCAATTGAGGCCAGAGTACAGTGCCCAGGGTACTTGCATGAGATTTGGGAAACCTGGATTATAGTCCATGCTCTGCCACAGACTTCCTGTGTAACTTTGAGCAAGTTATTTAGCCTCTCGTGGCCCAGTTGCGATCTATGGAATTGAGATATTATTTGTATTACCATGGTGATTAGGAGTCTCGCTCTTGGACCAGAACTCCATTCTGCTAAGTGCTATATATACACACAACAAAAAGACAGGCCAGCACATCCCCTGCCTCACAGGGGTATTAGGAGGACAAGGGAATTAAAGACTTGTAGGTGCTCAAATCATGGGGTCACATAATCACCTAAGATACATACATAGAGAGGCACTAACATTTGATCTTTTCTGTTCTCTAGCAAAAAGCACCTTGCTGCCATCTTGTACATCAAGGGAAACTTGCCCAGCAATGAAGTCAAAAGCATCCTGAGCATCCTGGATGTCAGTGCCAAGCCCACCACTTCCAATGAAGCTCTGTTTTCAGCCATGAGGGTTTCGTAGTCTTGACCCCAGCACTCGCACTGTATGGGACTGTTTGCAATGCTAGTAAAAGTAACTGGGCAGCTCAGAGGTGCAGCAGCATTTCTCTACTGAAGTCTTTTTTTTGTCATTGCGAGATTTGCTCTGTGTCTAGCTACGAAGGGATGGAATCTGATGGAGAGGTTGTGGCCACATTCTCTGAACAGCAAACAGAGCTCTCCAATCAGACACAGACACTCTTTGACATCTCGGGCATATCCCACTCTGCCTCAGTTTCCCTGTGGGAACAATAGTACTCCACTTATTTGTCAGAGATGTTGCAAGTATTACCTAGCTAACTAATTATTTAGGTAAGAGCTGAAAAGCATGGCTTGTCCTCTATGGAGGAAGATGCTCTTTGCTACACTTCTGGAAGAAAAAAAATAAAAATGTGAAGTGCTTGAAAAAATCATTTTGGAGCATGCTTATTAGGCATCTGCTAGGTTTTCTTTTTAATCAGAGGCTAAAAAGCTGCTTTTTCTGTTACATCCGTAAGATGTGGTGAAGGGGTCAGGAAGGAACAAAGTCTGCCCTCAGGCTGGCTTGCAAGAGCAATTTGGATAAGGCAAGTTCTAAAGGGTCTCATTGTGACTGTGTTTCAGAATCTTATCATCATGGACAAGAAGAAAAGTCACAGCACAGGAAACTGCAGATCTTTGGATTTCAGGAGCTTTCTGTATTTTGTAAATTCTAAATGTTAATGTTTTTAAAAATCTAAGTCTCTGCACCTTCCTGTTGTGAGGCTACAGCCCGCACAGTGTAAACTGACTGCTGCTGCCCAGCTAAACCAGCCTTGTGTTCCCTGGCCACAGCCTTGCAGTCAGACAAAAGGTGGGAATTTACCACTTCTGGACCTCATTCACCTCCATGAGGTGTGAATTGCTAAGCCTGCTTGGCAAATTAGGACCCAGTCCTGCAGGTGCTTTGCACAAAGAGCTCCCATTAGAGTTCTGTGTAGGACTGGGATTTTAGGTGCTCACATTTCTGACTTCATCCTATTTATATTCAGTGTTTTCCACCACAATAGGTTAAGGGTTTGTATTGCTAATTATGTGTTATAATAGCTGTTGTAGTCTAAGGCCCCAGTTCAGCAAAGCACTAACTGAGCTTAACATCTATAGCATTCAGCAAAGCATGCATTTCAATTGGACTTGAACATGTGCTTTAAGTGTTCAGGGGAGCCTAAATCCATAAATCCAACACACATTTTGTGCTATCCTTTTGTATAAAATCTTTCTCTTTAGTTGCCTTTTATCTTGCTGCTGTTGGGCTAGACTTTATTCGGCTTTGGTGAGGCCACATCTGGAGCATTGTGTCCAGTTCTGGGCCCCCCACTATAGAAAGGATGTGGACGCATTGGAGAGGGTCCAGCAGAGGGCTACCAAAATGATTAGGGGGTTGGAGCACATGATCTCTGAGGAGAGGCTGAGGAATTTGTGTTTGTTTAGTCTGCAGAAGAGAAGAGTGAGGGGGGATTTGATAGCAGCCTTCAACTTCCTGAAGGGAGGTTCCAAAGAGGATGGAGAAAGGCTGTTCTCAGTAGTGACGGATGGCAGTACAAGGAGCAATGGGCTCAAGTTACTGTGGGGGAGGTCTAGGTTGGATATTAGGAAAAAGTATTTCACTAAGAGGGGGGTGAAGTACTGGGATGGGTTACCTAAGGAGGTGGTGGAATCTCCATCCCTAGAGGTTTTTAAGTCTCAGCTTGACAAAGCCCTGGCTGGGTTGATTTAGTTGGGATTGGTCCTGCTTTGGACAGGGGGCTGGACTTGATGACCTCCTGAGGTCTCTTCCAGCTCTATGATCCTATGACAGACTGGAGCTGGAAATGGTGATCTTGTTTTGGATGTTAAACTAATGTTTTGAAAGCAAACTTTTATTTTCAAGACCTCATCTTTTAGTTACAGAATTAATGACCAAAATATCCAGTTTGTTGAATTCAAGACCTCTGTAAAACCTCTTTAAAAGTGACTACATCTTATGCATATTGCATGTGAATTTCTGCTTTCTAACGCTGAGGTTGTATTTCTCCAGGTACTTGTAGGTCACTAGTGTGTTTATAGAATACAGTTTTATTTTCTATAATTAGTTATCTCTGTATGCAATATTTATATTTAAATAGTATTAAAATGATGCTGGAAATGTAGCTGACTTACGTGTGTGTGCTGTATGTACTGTACATGTGGGTAATCCTATAATGTTCCTTCAAAGAAATGATTCACCTAGTACTTCTTCCATGATGACTGTGAGGCGTAGGGTTGCAACTTCCAAACTGCAGAAAACCCCACCCCTCTGAGGCCCTGTTCTCTACTTACTCCCTTCCTCCTTCCTATGTCGCTCGCTCTCCCCTGCTCTCTCTCACTCTTTTTCACCAGACTGGAGCAGGGGTTGAGGTTCCAGCTGGGGGCCACGGGCTCTGGGGGTACAGCCAGAGATGAGGGGTTTCAGGTACAGGAGGTGGCTTCAGGCTGGGGCCCAGAGGTTAGAATTTGGAAGGGGGCTCTGAGCTGGGGCAGAGTTTATTCATTAGATGTGAGGGCTCTATCTGGGATGTGTGGGATCGGGGTTGGGGCTGGAGCTGAGGGGATTGGGATGAAGGAGGAGGCTTCAGGATGGAGCTGAGGGGTTCACAGTGTGAGAGGGGGCGTGAGGTGTGGGCTTCAGCTGGCAGTGACCTCACATGGCCCCATCATTTCCCAGGGACAGAGGAAGTCCATGTGGCTCCTAGGAATAGGCAGCATGGCCCTCGGTCTCCTAGATGGAGGGATGGCCAAGGAGGTTCTGTATGTTGCCACCCCCCCACAGGCCCCGAGCACTGACTCCTCAGCTCCCATTGGCCATGGCTGTGGCATTTCTGGCCAAAGGGAGCTGTGGAGCTAGCTCTTGGGACAGCACTAGGTGGGTGGGACAACACGTGGAGCTTCTCTAGCCACCCCTTTGCCTAGGAGCTGGGGGGATATCTTGATCTCTTCCTGGGAGCCAGGCAGAGCAGGGCATGGATCCTGCCTACCCCGCTGGAGACAGCCAATCACACTTTCAGTCAAGTCCCTAGTACACTGAGGGCACCACTGGAATACAAATAAAGAGAAGCTGGTACTGCAGGGGCACATGCTATGTGGGTGTTGTGAGGGCATATCCTGCCATATTCAACTGATCCTATAGCCTGGCATCCTATGGTTTTGGGAGCAGGGATTTTTAATGTGCTATTGCAGGGGTCAGCAACCCACGGCAGGCGCAGCAGGAGCTCAGCTCTCCCCCTCCCCCAGTGCAGCGGCTGGAGCTCTGCGGTTGCCACACAGCTGCAGGGTGGAGAACCGGCTCCGGCTTCCTGCTGGAAGGGCAAGTGGGGGAGGTTTGGGTGCATAGGGGCCAGGGCAGGCCGGCAAGCAGAACTGGCAGCATAACCCCACACTGGACTCCATGTTCCTGTTTCTGCTCCTGCCCAGCCAGGGCGTGCTGCTCCCAGGGGCTAAGGGGTTAACATCCCTTCCCTCCCACA